CGACCATATTTAGTGCATCAAATATTTTGACAGCTGCCAGTTGTCCCCATGTGCATATCTTGCACCAGCTGTCTCATTACATATATATCTGATGTGAGAAGGTGTTTTTCTATAAACACATGACCGCCCCTCATGGTTTAGGGTTAGAAAATTTTGTAAAGAGCCATAACTTGTAAAATACACTTCCTTCCTCTCTTGCAATATACATACACCATACATACACCTCCTATGCCAAAACTTGAGGCCCTTTTGCTGAGATTCTTGAACACAATTTCAGCTCTTGAGAGTGTTCAACTTGTGGTTTGTGAACTAGAAGAGCATCCTCTCTTTTAAGAGGTATACTTTGAGCTTTTGTATTATCTTTTCTCTCTCTTTTCTTTGCTTTTTCATACTAATTTTAGAGTTTTTTTGAGGCCTAAATTTGTGATTTTAAGTCACAAAAAAACAAGAGGGGTTACACACCATTCCTTAGGCTTGTTGGTTGGTTGAAACCCCTTGGCTTTATCCTATTTTTGCTTACTTTTTCCACCTCAAAAACTTGATTTTCAGCACTATTTTTGTGCTATTTCAGAGCTTTTTAGTGTGTTTAATTATGTTTTGAATATTATAGATGTGTTGTTGTAAGCCCTCATGCATTGGTGTATAGGCTTTGGCTTCCCATCCATTTGAGTTGATAGTCTTTTCTTGTTTTTTTATAGCTTTCATACATGTTCACACCATTGTAATCACCCATTTTTTCATAGCACTTTGCAATCTCTTTCATTTCTTTGTTTTTTTGATTAAAGAGTTGTATCAACCAAAAGATTATTGCTCAAGGCATAAGAAAGAGACCCCTCATGCTAAATGGTTTAATCTTTTCGGAGATTCATTACCAGGACATTACATCTCTCTTATGCTAAGCACAACCTCTTGTTTGATACCTCTCTTTATCGCCGGTGCATTTACTTCTAAGGGACTAATTTTTTAGTTAGACCCTTGGAATTCACAAAGGAAAGGTTTATTGTAGCTTACTATCGAGTTTGGATTTAGAGTCATTATCGCTCATTTTGGGTTTGACTAGTCATTATCACTCTTTTCGAGTTTGATTAGCCATTATTACTCATTTTAGGTTGGACTCCGAATTCATTATCCCTTGTAAATGAGTTTGATTCTTTCTTTGTAATTTCCCCCATAGAAAAGGGCTTGAAAAGCTCATTTCTCGAGTTAAGTCATGCTTGCTATTCTTTATTGCTTTGGATTTAGTGGGCGTGATCATCACCTTTGGACAAAATTGAAGAAAAGATAAGAAATGGAAAGGTAATGTAAAAGAGCTAATAAAATTGGAGAATAAAGAGGTAAAAAAGGTAATAAAATTTGGTTAGGTTCGGTCGGACGTTATACCGAGACTATTGCGTCTTGAATCATCGCATACTATTTTAGTGATATTTGGTGATTTATAAGGCATGTCTACCCTTCTCTTGAGGTAATTCCATGATAGGGAGGAGGTATTGTCTATCTTTTTTTTTTTTTTTAAATTTATTGAGCTATTGTCCTATCGGTTCTAAGATCACCACGTAACAAATTTGCGACAATTAATGATTTGTGAATTGAATCTACTCCTCCCTTGATCATCTTCATGATAGGAAAGGACAGAGAGGATAAACATCTTTTGGAAACACTCTGTTTTTGCTCTGTTTCAGCTCTGTGGCAGCAGGGTATCCTCTAGAAGCAGTGGCTGGCCAGCCATCATTCTGTACGGCTTACCACTTTTCAAGGTCGGTCGACCACCTATTTTGTACAGGCAGTGGCATTTTTACAACAGAACATAGCAGAATCTGAGGCCAAAACAGAATAATTTGCTGATTACAAACAGAGCAAATTTTGGTAATAAACAGAGAGGTTTTCGAGAGGATGTTCTTGGTTGTGCGCATGCTGCTCCTCGCCTCTTGTTCAAGTTCATTAAATTAGTACTTTAATATTGTATGTGTAATTAATTAGTTGGCTTCATTCAAATTTGTAATGGCTAGTTGATTTAGTTAATTCACTTGGGGTTTGTAATAATTAGCTCAATTATGACATTTATTTCGACCCTCTTGTACGAAGGCAAACTTGTAATATTTGTATGTCTTCCAACCCCCATTTCTTTCTTCTTCTTTTTTTCTTACATGGCTACCATGGTAGTATCATGTTTTGATTTCATATCAGAGCCATGTGTTGTATCCATTTTTGCATGTATTGGGTTCGGTTCATCATTCTAATATCATTGTCATTTTCTTACTTACTTGAATGCGTGTGTTACCACATGGTTTGAGTTGATCCATATGACATGTTAAATAAACCGAACCTACTAGTTGCATTTTGTATGTGTGCATTAGTCATTTGCATATTAGAGCATGCATTTTTCTAATTATTTTATCCTCTTTGGCTTGCCTGGGAGTACTAGGTGAGCATTTTTTTGCTTTAGCATGTTGTATGAGTGTTTGTGTTGCCATATCAAGCATACTACCCTGAGACTACATACTTATTCGAAATAACTGTTTGAACGCCTATGGATGAAGGCTATTTCACTTTAGTTGGAATGACTTTGATAAATGTACATATGAACTTACTTTTTCAAATAACACATATTCAAAACTCTTTATAAACATGCATGAAATCAAAGCATTCCAAAGTGGGTGAGTAGTCTATGCTTGTGTGCCTCACATAGTAAGTTAGCATAATAATCATAACTTGAGCATATTATGTACATAAAAATCACATCATGATTAGTAGAGGCCGATCTTTAATCAGGTGAGTGGGGTGCTCAATTCAATACATTCTCTTCTCATACCTAAGTTCCCAAGCTAAAATACTTTGGTTATGACAGACAAGTGGCCTTTGGCATTGGGTTCGATTCATCATTCTAATATCATTGTCATTTTCTTACTTACTTGAATGCGTGCGTTACCACATGGTTTGAGTTGATCCATATGACATGTTAAGTAAACCGAACCTAGTAGTTGCATTTTGTATGTGTGCATTAGTCACTTGCATATTAGAGCATGCATTTTTCTAATTATTTTCTCCTCTTTGGCTTACCTCGGAGTACTATGTGAGCATTTTTTTGCTTTAGCATGTTGTATGAGTGTTTGTGTTGCCATATCAAGCATACTATCCTGAGGCTACGTGCTTATTTGAAATAACTATTTGAATGCCTGTGGATGAAGGCTATTTTGCTTAAGTTGGAATGAATTTGATAAATGTACATATGAGCTTACTTTTTCAAATAGCACATATTCAAAACTCTTTATAAATAAACATGAAATCAAAGCATTCCAAAGTAGGTGACGTAGTCTATACTTGTCTGCCTCACATAGTAAGTTAGCATAATAATCATAACATGAGCATATACTGTACATAAAAATCACATCATTATTAGTAGAGACCGATCTTTAATCTAGTGAGTGGGGTGCTCAATTTATTATATTCCCCTCTCATACCTAAGTTCCCGAGCTAAAAAACTTTGGTTATGACAGACAAGTGGCCTTTAGCATGAGTCATGTGTTTCTTAAATTTCTCAAAAATATTTAGGTGGCAACTCTGAAATCTGGCAATGCAGTCCATTTTTGACATCTCAGATGATTAAATGGATTTTCTAAGATTTGTCGGATTTAGACTATCATTTGTGTTTTTCTATTTCACATTGCACTTGTGAAACCAGATTCAGAATCAGGGGAGTCCGAACTGTAGGGCTATCGTATCCGAGGAAACTAAACCTCTTCGAGGAGCACAAGAAACTAGTTACACAAACGTAACACTCCAATGTAACACACAAAAATGCTCGTTAATGTACTTTTTCCAAACGTAACACTCCAATGTAATATACATAAAAACACTAAAAAATTATCTAATGTACTTTTTCTCAATGTAACACTCATAATTTGAAATTATACATTTATCCAGAGTTTACTAAGAAATTTTTGAACTCCTTTTGGAATGGTTTGAATAATCTCACACATTTTTTTGAATAGTTTAAAGAATCCCTCATCCTTTTTTTAGAGTGTTACATTGGAATTTTATGTTTTAAAAAAGTACACTAAGGAATTTTTGCGTGTGTTATATTGGAGTATTACGCTTGGAAAAAGTATAATAAAGAGTTTTTTTGGAGTGTTATGGTCGAGTGTTACAGATTGAAATTATACATTTATTCAAACCTTACTAAAGAGTTTTTGTACTCCTTTTGAAATATTTGAAGAATCTCACATCCTTTTGGAATATTTGAAGAATCTCATATTTAAAGTCATTTTTATACTTGTTTTGAAATGTTTGAAAAATTTTACATTTCAAGTCATTTCAAATAAAAAAGATTATCATATAAAAGTTAATCTCAAATTTGATCATCATAAGTGGTGTATCTTACATTTCCAGCGCAAAAGAAAAATAGAAAGAAAAACATAATAGAAATAAGAGTATAATCATATATCTAATTTTCAAATAATATATTAAATTTACCTTTTTAAAATCAATGGGACTAATTGATCTATAAGAAAACTCTTGAAATTAATCGGATTATCATTTCTGAAGATGAGATTTATAAGTAAATTTTTCATAAAAATTGAACTTTTTATCAAATGAAGAAAAAAAAAATCCATATAATTTAAAAATAAAAAACTCTTTATTTATGAAGAATGTTCATCATTGGAATCCATATATATATATATATATGTGTGATTTTTTGTTTTTTATTTTTTCCTTTTTTTCCCTCTTGGTCGAGGACAAAATAATGTCACACAAACCAATAGTAAAACTAAAAATTTGGAAAGCATGTCAGCTCTATTATCTATCTTAAATTTTAGGAGAGAAAAAAAATCTACAATTAAGAAACACATGTGTACTCCTTTCAAATTTTATTATAGTTAATTATATTTTCTTTTTCAATTTCTTTCTCATTCAAAGAATTCCCTTTTTTTTTTTCTTTTCTTCAAACATCCCAATAATTACTTTCTTACACACAAAAAAAAGAAAAATCAAAATGCCTTTACTTCGATTATTTGTTGATTAATATTCTATATGGGCTACGCTAAATGGACTGAGATGTCACTGAGCCAGTACCTACCCTTAGAAACATATAAAATGATAGTTTTGGCAAAATTTGACAAAGGCATTTGAAAAATGTAAAAGGACAAGACAATTTAACATCCTTTGTCTTAGGAAGTTAAATTATAAATATTAAAAGCTATATAAGAAATTATTGTAACCTAGCTACTTCTTCACATCTTCCAAATTTCTCTCTTCTAATTACATTTTCTCACTTTTCCTCCACCTCTCCACTTGCTTTGTTAGGTTTTCTTTCCTTTGAAGAAAAGATTGAAGAGTAGTGGGATCATAGGGTGGAGGCATGGTGCATGGGCTCGTATCCGCTGGACCCTTCACCATGGAGTTAATCTTGAACTTCTTCCTCAACCCTTTTCCAGAACACGCCATTGTTTCCGAGCACACTTCGATTGATCCATCAGGTACAGTCGGTTTGTATTTTAGCAGTTTTCCATATTCATATAGCAAATGAAACATGTAGTCATATACATTCTTCATGTTTAGCTCCTCTTGAACGAACTTGCTCCCTGCCTTTCCAATCTCCTGAGCCTGTGAGTCACAAATGAAGTTGGTAAAAGTAAAACTCAAAAAAAGGTAAATTACAAATACACCCCATGAAGTTTGTTTAAAATACAAATTATCTCATGCAATTAATTACAAATACTCACTTATTAGAATTTTTTATTTAACAGAATTAACTCAAAAAATAAAATTCCTAACTACTATTCTACAAGCAATAAAATTACCTAAATTAATTAAAAAAATATTTCTTGTATCATTAAAATCTATTAATTGAGCAGATAATTTTTTTAAAATTGATCATTTTTTATGTGATTAGAAACTTGAAGAGGCGGGATGCAATTTCTAGAACTATAGGAAAACATTGTATTTTAGGCAAACCTCAGGTGGTACATTTGTAATTTACCCTTAAAAAAAAAGAAAAAAAAACTAGACAAATTTTCTTCATATAGCACATTCATTTATTTGTATAGAGATTCACATTACATTTTTAAATTTTTTGAACCAATGTAAAGCATAAATGTTATGAACCTAGAAAAATATACCCAAAAAAAAAAAAAATTCTTAGAATTTTGAATATGTAGAATTTAGATTTAAAATTGTAGTGTATGTAGATGACAAAGTGACTACCATGTTATAAAACTACTGAAAAATTAAAACTACTAAACCTACTAATGATATTAAACTTTTAGAAACTTGTATCATTTAGGAAGTCTGTATATTTTTCTAGCTAAATTGTATCATGATGAGTTTTTAATGGTTTTGACTCCTGATAATTTCATATGTTGCCACTTGTAACAAGAGCAATTATTTATTCTTCTATGAACATCACGTTGATAGTGTGTTCATCCAATAATAAGGATTTATATAGTTATGAGGTTTAAAAATATAGAAATAACAGGAAAATAATAAAAAGAATATTATTGATTGGGTACACAATCATATAATGTTCCAAAAAAAAAAAAAAAACTAGATAATTTTCTGTTGTACATGTAAACCATATTGTAGAGATGCAACAAACAACTACTAATATTGTTAGGCCCACTTAACCAAGTTGCAATACACATTAACGATTGTGATTCTTGTGTCATAAAGAAATTTGATCACCTTTTGTGGGTGTTTGTTTCCCCAGTCAACTGCAAACTTGATAGATTTGCACATGTCATTCTCGTTGATTGGCCAGTAGTGGATTGAGGGTAATAAACTTCTTGTGAAGAAATCATAGTAATGGGGTGTTACTAGTAAACTCATAGAATCACATGCTAGAATATATTTTTCACTTACAGACCATGCAGCTCCCTCAACATAAATCTTGTATCTGCATGAAATTAGTATAAAGAAATTAGGGGGGAAAATTTGAAGGAAAGAAATGAAACATTTGGAAGCATGGATGGAAGTAGGATTTAATTCTTAGCCGAACCTTCAGGAACAAAAGAAATTGTCATTTTAAAATACATATACAAGTAGTTGGCTATCAAAGTGGTACTTGATGTTCTTTTTTACATTGAAATCCATCTATGATTAATTCCATATCAAAAATTGTAGCATTTAAAGAATAAGTACTAACAATAAGTTTCTAAATAAACTATTTATAATTGACTTAAAATAATTATTTCACTGAGATAATTAACTAGCACTAAAATCTCAAATGAATTTATAGATCAAATTCTAATAAAAGAAAGAAATACGTGTTTGGTTTGTATTTTGAGATAAATTTTCAAAAAAAAAAAAAATTTGGGGAGAGCGTTTAGAATTTTTTTTGATTTGTTTGGTTATATATTTTGAAAATAGTTTTGGAATTTAGGAGTTTGGTAGAGCGATTCCAGTTTTGACCTAATCTTTGTTGTACTCCGGACTCGGATTTTGTGGTTTAGTGTTGTGGTTCATCTCTTATTCCCTTGGTTTTCCCTTAAGTTTGTCTTTTGGTTTATTGTGATTGTATTTGGGACAAGTTGGTTGCTTGATTTCCAAAATCTTGTTGCCCAAATTTTAGTTCCTCCGCTCGAACGGCACTTCTTGCGCTCGAGCAGGTTTTCAAACTCTCAGTACTTTTGCAGGCCTGCAAAACTACTGGAAGAGTGTACTTTACGCTTGAGCGGGTTTTTCTACGCTCGAGCGGCCACTTCTTGCGCTTGAGCGGCTGGTCAAATGTCTGTAAAACTACTAGATGTGTGTTTTTTACGCTCGAGCGTCACTTCTTGCGCTTGAGCGGTGTGTGTCTCTTTCATTGTGTCTTAGTGCTCGAGCGGAACAACTTATTGTGTTTGATGCTCGAGCATCACTTCTTGCACTCGAGTAGACTGTGCGTATATCAGTTCGTGAAAGTGAATTTTTACATCATTTTTTCAAATCTTTTCTTCCTAAACCCTAAAGTTGTGACCCTCTCTCTCTAAAACATGCACACACTCTCTCTCTATATTTTCCCCTAGTTCTAGTGATTTCTCCATCCATTTGCCTTTGTTAAAAAAAGTGAGCATCTCTAGATCTCCGTTTTGATCCGAATAAAGTTGGGTTTGAGTATCTTTGAAGTTTCATCCTTGCTTGGTTCGTCTTCTCTCTTTGAGGTAAGAATTTTTTACACTTTTATATGACATTTTAACTTAGTTATGGGTTGTTGTGTAAAAATGATAGAATGTGGGGTATTGTGAACAAACCTAGGGTTTGGGTATTAAATCAAAAGTGAGGTTTCTAACTAAATGAGCTACCGGTGGTTATGAGATTAAATATGAGACTATGTTGTGTCAACATAGTTGATTTTGGCATTTGGTTTGGAATTTGGGAAAAAATGGGAGTTTGCCCTAAAATGCTTCAGATAATTATTTTGTATAAATAAATGAAATTGATATTGTAAATATGAAATTGGATGAACGTTGATATAAATGGTAGAGTTGAATATGTATTACCTCACACCTTTGGGAATTTGAACAAATTATCTGTCTTGAGATTGAATATCTGTTTAGAAATATCTGTATTGAGCTATCGGTGGAGGATAGCTATGGTTGTTATAAAAATTACATGAGAATTATGTGAATTAAAACTAATTTCTTGTTGGTTGTCATTGCATATGACTATGTTTTAAATACATTGTATATGCATGATGTTTGGGAAGAGAAAATTGATGTACTCCATGTTTGGGAGGAGAAAGGGAATGGACTCCATTGAAATTAAGTTGGCCTATGTGTCTAGGATGAAAGTCCTAAAATCGCGCGTATACATGGGTGCTGATCTTGCGGACGAAATTTCTGTAAAATGACAAATTGAAGTGTATGTGTGATAATTGTGTTAATTTGGGAACCATTGAGTTGTAGTCTCAGATAGATTGTCTGAAAGATAATGAAATTGACTTATGAAGTGAAAAAAAAATGAATTCACTTAAATTAATGAGAAGGAAAAAGAATTGAGAGGTGAGTTTTGGTACTCCATGATTATATAGAATATGGATGTTTTATCATTGGCATTGTAAATACACATTATACTTATATCTTTGTTAAGATCCATATACTGTGTTAGATTGTACCTACTGGGTTTTGACTCACCTTATTTGGGAAAAAATTATTTTCAGGTGTTGATGATATGCCTCCGCCAAGATAATAGCTTGGAGGGACTTTGGAGCAAGAGCTTCCTTTTGTTGCATTTTCTTTTGTATAGCCCATGGCTTTGTTTGTATTGAGCTAGTCTTGCTTTTGTTGTAACCAAGTAATGACTTGGAAAGATGTAAGCCCTTAAGACATTTAAATATCTGTTTAACTTCCATTCCTCTTTACCACTTGTAGCACATGCTGTAGATTCAGGATGAACTATTTATGAATGTATATGGCATGTGTCACTTTTTTATATCACTTCAAATTAATGAAAGTTTATTATTTTGATTATGTTGCCTTGCGTTAATCGTGTTGGGATGGATTATTGTAATTATTTTCGGGACGTTACATTTGGGATTATTTAATATTTTGTTGTAGTTGAGTAGATGTGTGTGAGATAAAAAGTGGTTGAGAATGAGAGATGAGAGAGAAAAAGTGATTGATTGATGTGTAAGAGAGAGAAAATTATTTTGAAATTTTTTTTCAAAATATTTGAACCAAACAAAATTTTGAAAAATTTTCTCAAAAATTATATCTTGAGATACAAAACAGGTAAGATTTTATTTTTATTTTTTATTTTTTTTTAAAAAATATCCTTCACACTGCATTGTGTTCATGTTCAAAAAAACATTAAAAAATGTCTTTGTCCACAAACAAAAAATGTTTTCGTTGTTTTTTTTATTTTTTATTTTTATTTTTGGATAAACAAGAGGGAAAGTTTTTAGGATAAATTATGCAAATAGGTCCTATAGTTTACAAAATATGTTAATTTGGTCTTTGTTGTTTTAATTTGCTTGATTTTATCCCTTAATTTAATGGATTGTGTCATGTTAGTTCAATAAATAACGGTGATTAGTTTTTTGACGGAAAGTCAAATGATGTGTCAATTTGGTCCTCGTAATTTGCACGATGTGTCAAATTAACACATCATTTGACTTTCTGTCAATCAAACCTAGCAACTATTATTTATTGGACTAATATAAAATAATCCTTAAATTAAGGGACCAAAATCGAGCAAATTAAAATAACATGGACCAAATTGACACATCGTGTAAACTATAGAGACCATTTGCATAATTTATTGATGAAACTGCACAGAATCAATACAAGATCAAGAAGCATACATCAACAAAGAGAAAAGGATGGTGCAAAAACTGTATCATGGCATAACCCTCCAATCCCAACTAGATTGGTACAAAAACATAAGCATTACAAAAGCATAAAAAAAACATAGCTACAATCCTCAAGCATCAGGCAATGTTACTAATTTATATCCTCAAGCATTGTCCTATTTTTTCTCTTTTTCTTGCTTTGGTTGCTTCTGATTGGTTTCTCACCAATCTTGGGGCTAATGTTAGCAAATGATTGTATTTCTTTTGCGGTGCTAACCTAGTTGGATTTGTTAAGGTTAGCTATGATGTGTTATTCCCACAAAGGTGTGTGTGGGTGTGTAAATAAAATGTATAAATTAAATAAATAATAAAATAAAATAATTCAGAAAATAATTATATAATTATTTTCCGAATTAAATGCTTACAGAAATTAATGTCGAGGCTTGTGTTGGACACAATCTCCTTAAAATATATTTCACTCTCTCTCCGGCGCTTCGAGTTTACCAGCGTCTACTTCCTAGGATACAACAACTATCGGTAGAATTTTGCAACACTACAAAACCAAGCCTTGCAAACCAAAATTATGTTGTAACTCTTTCTTTTCCTTCCTAAATTTAAATGCAAGAAAAATGCAGAAAGATAAGAGGACGACTTGAAGAAGAAATGAAGAAATGCTCTCAAAAAAACTTGATTAAAAGAATTGCTGGATGGCCAACTATTTATAAAAGTGGAAATGGCTTTTCCAAACAGGTGCCAACAGATATGAACTTGTTCGGACAGATTCAATAACCAAAAACCCAACCTGATTGGACTGTTTGAACAGATCTGTTCGGACTATTTGAACAGATACAGATCTGTCTGATTTTGGAATGAACAGGTATGAACCTGTTCGAGTTAGGAACTGTTTGGGTGGAAAAAATCAGGACCAACTTTCTTTTGAATTTTGAAATCAAAATTAAAAATAAATACATAAATAAATACAATACAAAAGTTTTTGTCTAAAACGACAAGTATTGAGCTAGACAAGCCCAATCCAACCTCACACCACGCACCTACGCCCGCCCAAGCTCAGGCCCAGCCTAGCCTAGCCCGCCCGACGGCGGTGGCGCGCGCGTGTGGTTTTAATTTTGGGTCCAATGGGTCTAGCCCACTTCACCCATAACTTCACCCTTCCATAAACTTGGGTACCCCTTGGGACCCATCTCAAGTATCCCAAGCTAAGGTATATAAAACCATTTAAAACCTTAAGCCTTTCCAACGTGGGACAAGCACATTTCATAAATGTGTAGGAAAACCACCAAAAAACTAGTTCCACGAGCCCGAAAATGCGCATTGAATTCTCATTCATCCGGAAATGGTTTTAAGCAACCAAATACATGAATTTATTTACTACGCGGCATTAAACATGAACCCACTTAGAAACATTAAAAATAACGTTTGGGTCCCACCTTAATTAATGCTCAAAGTTAGCAAAACATAATGTTATACAAAAGCCATTTTCTTACAATCCCCCACATGAATGGAATTCACGATAACGAATATGCAACAAGATGCACACAAAGAAAGAGTACATTAAGAAGATACACCACATCGATATAGGTAGCTTTTGGCTTTAACATCTTCTA